GGGTAAGTAACGGCTTTTTACCCGCCTTTTGTCACATGGTGAGATAGAAAAACCAAACTATTGGTTGGTTAATGTCCTCTAAAAGTTTACATGTCATATATACGAGCTAGGTAGGTATAGGCTTACACAGCTGGAACTTAACTTTGAAGTCTCGCAACTTTTTTTTTTACTTTTTGAAATCAGTTATAAAATTGTATTTGCAAAGTTTTTAGACACCTAAGTATAAATTTGCTGGTTTATTACTGAAGAACGAAGCACTGATACTCAGAGGTAATATATCGTTATCGTTGTCTTCCCCTCTACTAAAAAAACTACAAAATTCCAAAACATTTAGCTTATAAACCATCAACTTTTAATGACAAATTTGAAAGATCTTAAATTTAAATACACTTAGGTTTCTATCTTTAAATAATATGTGAAACTTTTTAAATTTTTTTTAGTTGTATTGTATATTGTATTTTTAAAGCTATCAACATTTTAGAAACCAAAACCACTTGAATTAGGCATTAAAAGTTCTTGTGGATTTTTATAAAATCATAAATAAATTAAAATTTAAATGAAAAAATCATTGAAAAAAAATGTTTCTTTTACAATCATCTAAATTGAGTTGATCATTACCAGTGATATTTTTCCCAGTGCACTTTGTTGCCAACGACAACAACGACAGACTGTTGCGTGGGCGTTTGAGTGTAACTGTAACACCTGCTGCCCTGCCGCTATTAACACAACATTTCTCTGCTCTCCAATTTTAATTTCAGCCCAAAGGAATGAAGCCGGAACACCTTTCAACCCTGCGAGCCATTGTTATATTATTATTGCTACCGTACCATAGGCGGGTACTATGCCTACTCCTCCTACACGATCGCATTCGCATTGGCTTCACGCTCATTTAAATGCCAACGCACCGGGGGAAAAGAGAGCACGGCGATCTAACAAAACATTGGCTGCTTATTTACATATTTTCTGTATGAATGTGGCTACGAGTTTGCAACCCCGGCGGTGGCAAAGCCAAGAAGCGCATTCAGTTGCAACGGCGGCAGCTGCTGCTTTTGCTGTTGTTGTTGGCTTTCCCTGCACTGGATTTCTACTTCCTCCCGGTCGAAGCAGCAGCAACATCAGCAATCAGGAACAGCAGCAGCAACAAGAAGCCGTCGTCAAACGCCGCAACTAATTGATATAATAGTTAAAATAACAAACTAACGAGAAAGAGGTTGTCGGCGAACGCGCTGCCGCGTTGGTGAAGTGCAAAACCTTTCCAATTTGAAAATAGTTTTCCTGCTATGTGTGCTCGTTCCCACAAGCAGCAGCAGCAATAGCAATACCGCCACTAGATGAAGCAGCAACATTGGCAGTAACTGCAGCAACATCGGTTCAGAACAAGCACAAAACAACATAGCCTACACTTTGCCAAGAGGTGATTGGGAAAAGGGGCTGTAGCTGGAGCTGGAGCTGGAGTTGGCGTTGGAGCTGGAGAAGATGACAATGCAGCGATTAGAGCAATGCAGAACTTGAACTCTACAAGTCGACGGCATCATCATTATCATCATCTTCATTGGCGGCGGCAGCTGGAAAAATGTTTGCCCCAATCCCCAGTCGAAGTCGCAGTCCCAATGCTCGGCATTTCCGTTTGGAAAAGAGGATGAAGCCGAAGCGGGATCGATTCGTTACTGATGCACTTTGCAAGAGGGGAAATAGTAATCACATTTATTAAATCTAAATAAAATATGTCTGGTGTTATTTATTTAAACGCTGCTGTCTTTCACTTTTTGGTTTGGGAAGGGTTTAATGGCTGGCATCTGAGAGTTCTAGGAAATAGCGCTTAGGTAGGGGATATTTTATGTCAAGTTGGAATAAAATTAATAACAAATCGTATGATCTTTTAAAATGAAAAAGAACTACAAAATTTTTAAACTGAGCTGTTAAATTAAAATCTTGAAAACTTTTTATAGAAAGGTACCAGGTTTCTGGGAATGAAATATTATAATCATAAGTAAACAGGCTGTTTAGCTCTAAGTATACAATATATTAATTTAATTTAATTAACAGCACCTTTGTAAAAGAATCCACATCTGTTAGACACAACAGGTGCTGTTATGCGCTAATCGACTGTTTTACAACACTACCAATACTGAAGATCATTCGATAACAGGACTATACAAAATGGTTCCATTCGATAGGACAATAACAAAGAATATAATAAACAAGAGAAAAAAAAAACCCAAATTTAAATGCAGCCTTATAAAGATTATATATTAGATATGTGAATGCATCTCTTAAATCCTATTCTAACAGGTAAAGACAGTACAAAATAAAATTAATCGAAAACATCTTAATCCCATAGTGAAATGAAATTTAATTGATAATCAAAGCAAAATACACCAGCGATTCAATTTGAAAAATAAAAATGTAACGGCATCTGGGTTGTGGTGAAAGATCTTGCGCTTTACAGAAAGCTTGTTTCGTAACCGCATTAATTTCGGACAAAATCGAATCAAAAAAGAATAGTTTTATAAAACATTAAATTATTTGTTATTATTTCTTTTTGAACACCAAAACATGAACATTAAGACATCGATATCAGAATAGACTTTCAAAAAAATCGATTTATCGAAGTAGTATCGATGATTGCTGCAGCCCTGTTTCCGTCCCTTCTCTTCTTCGTTTCCGGTGAGTGCGTGTGCTCCGCGTTTTTTCACTGATTTTGCAAATATATTACACTGAATATTATATTTGTAGGCAGACGTTTTAAACGGCGAATCCACCATGGTGCAAGGAGTACGTAAATGAAAGCGGTATGCAAATTCGCCGAAAGCAGCTGCTCGAGGCCATGTGAATTGGCGAATTTGCAAATGCCGGTTAAAAGGTGCCACGACACATACTAATTCAGATTGACTTGATTGTTTGCAGACTCTGTACACTTATCCCGAGAACTTCCGCGCGTACAAGGCGCTCATTGCGGCCCAGTACTCCGGAGCCCAGGTGAAAGTGGCCGATAACTTCAAGTTTGGCGAGACCAACAAGTCGGCTGAGTTCCTCAAGAAGTTCCCCAGTGGCAAGGTGAGTGGTGGTGCTGGTGGTGGTGGTGGAGTGGGGTGTGGTCATAATGCCATGTCATCATACATACTATATACATACATACCTTGTAGGTGCCCGCATTCGAGACCGCTGAAGGCCAGTACCTGAGCGAGTCCAATGCCATTGCCTATCTGCTGGCCAACGAGCAGCTGCGCGGTGGCAAGTGCCCCTTCGTCCAGGCCCAGGTCCAGCAGTGGATCTCGTTTGCCGACAATGAGATCGTTCCCGCCTCGTGTGCCTGGGTCTTCCCCCTGCTGGGCATCCTGCCGCAGCAGAAGAACTCCAATGCCAAGCAGGAGGCCGAGGCTGTGCTGCAGCAGCTCAACCAGAAGCTGCAGGACGCCACCTTCCTGGCCGGCGAGAGGATCACCCTGGCCGATATCGTCGTGTTCAGCAGCCTGCTGCATCTGTACGAATACGTTCTGGAGCCCAGTGTGCGCAGTGCCTACGGCAATGTGAACCGCTGGTTCCTCACCATCCTCAACCAGAAGCAGGTGCAGGCCGTCGTCAAGGACTACAAGCTGTGCGAGAAGGCTCTGGTCTTCGATCCCAAGAAGTACGCCGAATTCCAGGCCAAATCGGGTGCCGGCAAGCCCCAGCAGCAGCAGCAGCAGCAGAAGCAGGAGAAGAAGCCCAAGGAGAAGAAGGAACCGGCGCCCAAGAAGGCTGCCGAACCCGCCGAGGAGTTGGATGCCGCCGACGAGGCCCTGGCCGCCGAGCCCAAGTCCAAGGATCCCTTCGATTTGCTGCCCAAGGGCACCTTCAACTTCGATGACTTCAAGCGCGTGTACTCCAACGAGGAGGAGGCCAAGTCGATTCCCTACTTCTTCGAGAAGTTCGATGCCGAGAACTACTCGATCTGGTTGGGCGAGTACAAGTACAACGAGGAGCTGTCCAAGGTGTTCATGTCGTGCAATCTCATCACCGGCATGTTCCAGCGCCTGGACAAGATGCGCAAGGCGGCCTTCGCCTCCGTGTGCCTGTTCGGCGAGGACGGCAACAGCACCATCTCCGGCATCTGGGTGTGGCGTGGACAGGATCTGGCCTTCACCCTGTCGCCCGATTGGCAGATCGACTACGAGGTCTACGACTGGAAGAAGCTCGACGCCAAGAGCGAGGAGACCAAGAAGCTGGTCACCCAGTACTTCTCGTGGACCGGTGCCGATAAGGATGGTCGCAAGTTCAACCAGGGCAAGATCTTCAAGTAAACAGCTCAGCTCAATAACAACAACAACAAAAGCAACAGCAGCAGCAGTAACAATAAAGTTTGAGATTTGATATGCAGGATGCAAGCATGATGCCTTTATCTTAAGTTCCAACTGATAGTATCCTAAGGATATTCAATATCTGTCTTGCTGCCTCGAAGGTTCGGTATTGTGCGTTTTGCCTTCTGCATTATCGTAACTGGAGAATTTCTTTGTAACCGCCTACTACACCATGATATTGTCAACGGAACAGCCGCCTGCAGCCAGAACATAATTTATAAAAAATAAAAGGTTTTCTATTAATAACACCATGTTACACAATTTGTTGGGTTTAATTGAATGCTTTTGAAGGTTAGAGAGCGGGTTCGATTTATAAACTTTTAGTTTGTGAGCTTTGCTAACGTTAAAGGGTCTCCTTTAACATTTTTCATAGCTTTTCAAGAAAGAGTATGATAATTCTAAAAATAAGTCCAGCCATTTTTATAATCGGACTTAATTTCAACTCAAATACCAAATAAATAATAAACGTAATCTTAATTGATTACTATTATTAACTATGATTAAATAACAATTTCAATAGATTTCGATAATGAAATTTATAAGGCTGTTTAAACTAATTCGGTGAATTTAACTACGTATTTAAGTTTATTTAATTAATATTAACAACCAACTGATGCGCACATGCATATGCATATGTGATAACTAAACCAAGCAAAGTGATTTCGATGTTTTTTGGGCAATTTTATTGGCTTCTTTAACTTAATCCATCAATATCATCAATTATTGCTTATGTTTACAAGGGGTTCTGACAGCGTAGAATTATTTCGAAGTAGTTCAACCATTAAACTTGGTTCTAAAGGCAAACAGAAAGTTCCAAGAGAGAATTTGAACAAGGAAATGCTAGAGGTGTTTCAATATCGATGCACGGCTGGAATTTACTTCTTCACCACAACTGGTCCAACGTTGTCGCCAGTCAGCTTGTTGTGCTCGCCATGGCTGCCATCGCAATAGGGCCACTGAAAAAGAGGATTATATTGGGTTAACATTGGCTGATTAGTTTACTCATTACCATTGTTAAAGCATTAATAAAAATATAGTTACTATAAATCCTAAGAAAACCTAATTTGTTACTTATTAAATTTATGTTTATAAGCATTACCCTTTCAGAAATTGTAAGCTGATCATCATCTCAAATTCGAATTTTGATCCATACTCAATTTCAAATTGAAGAAGCTTTTAATACAAGGAATTCAAAAATATGTCAAGTTAATTTATTTGTCGTTTCATGTTCTTGTAATATATTACGATTGTTCTTCAGTTACGGTCTATACACCGATATAGTTTGCAGAACTTAATGATATATGCTCTTGAAATTGTGATCCATATTCAATAAAAGGGATATAAAGAAGTGGGATAATAGAGCTTAAACTATTGCTTGTTCAGTTCTGTAAACGAAATTATTTCCAACTATAAGGAGTTAACAAGGAAATCAAATTGAATTGATGTCCACTCACGTTCTTGGTCTTCCAGCAGCGGCAGAAGGCCGCCTTCTCCGCAATGTCCTCCACATCGATCATGTCCACCACCTTGGGCTCATGTTTCCGGATTTGGTTGTTGCAGCGTCCGCTGCTTTTGGCCTGGCACTTGGCCGCCGGGCAGAAGGCCAGATATCCGGTGTAACCCAGTCCGGCCACCACAACGGTGGGTGGGATCAAGGCCAGCCAGTCCTTGACTGAAAATTCAGATGCGAGTTACTGATAAGTTGTATTTTAAGGCACAAACCTGGATCTTTTAGCAATATCGGCCGTAACCGGCACAAGGTCGTTTTCTATATTCAGATTAGGTTATAAACGCACTAAGGGATCTGTGTGTAAGTGTATGTATGTGGCCAATGAAGCATCTACGCAATATAGGTTTATCTAGTTCCCTATCACTTTGCAAGATAAACTGGCTCCAATTTATAAATTTCTAGGCGAGCTCAACAAATGTTGCATAATCGCTGCAATTTCACTTTTACTTGTGTGCCTGGAAGTGCAGGCACTGCACTTACATTAAACATATTTGTATTTAAACTAGATCACGCCATACTTTCGTCTAAACAGTTCCCTATAGTTATGGCACTAGATGCTGCTGTGTCATTATCGTGGGTTTTTAGGTTTACGTTTGTGGGTCGCCCTTTCGTAGGCAAAATCAAATTCCAACCATGACCACTTTTATGTCTATTGATATCAACTTACAGGAAAGCTTAAACCAACCGCCGATGCTGTCCGGAATCGGTAGATTTGACAGATAATTGGGTAAAGTTGATTTTACTAATTGTGATATACCCTCCATTTCAAAACTTTTTGTATTTTACTGGGTTCAAAAGCGAGTCTGAAAAACCTGTTTTTGTTGTTGCTATCGGTTGGAGATGGCAATACATCGATGACTGGCTTGTATCGATATTGCCGGTTTTACATTTCTATCGAGTGCGGCCACACCAATGTTATAAAAATACTAAATACTGCAATCTCGTGTCATCTCTAGCGGGCAGTGCCATCTCTAGCCTATTTCAGCATTCTTGCGATTTGTTTGCAATATCAATTGCATTTTATAATGTCTGCAGGAGTTCAAGAGCGCCTGCAACTGAGCCGGACTCCGCTGGACACCTGGTCGAAGCGCGAGCAGCTCATCCTGGCGTCGGCGGTGTCCTGCAGCGGCGACCAGAACTGGATCTCGGTGAGTCGCACGCTGAGGGCAATTTGCGGCAATGGAAACGGCGGCGGCGGTCCCAGCAGCAACAACAACAGCAGCAGCAATCGACCGGCGGATTGGTTTTCCCAGAAGAACTGTGCCGTCCAGTACGGCCATCTCCTGGAGAGCGTGGAGGCCACCAAGCGCAAGAAACGCAGCAGTGAGAGCAGCGCCGGAGTGTCCTCGCCGGCCACCGTGGAAACCCCCACAGAATTGCTGCTCCGCCGGCTGACGGAGGAGCGTCAGGCGGAGATCAAGGCGCAGATGCGCCACGATCAGGAGACCTACCGACGCATCCAGCGCGAGATCGATTCCCTGCAATCGGATGCAGTCACAGAGCAGGAGCTGAAGGACATGTGGCTGGAGATCGAGAAGGAGCAGGAGACGCGGCGCATCGAGGAGATGAAGATGGAGAACCGCATGCGAGAGCGGGAGCAGCGCAAGAAGGACCTGGCGGGCAACTGGCGGAACAGCAGTCCCGCTGCAAGGCGATCCAACCAAGCCACAGACACCACATCCGTGGACATGGACGTGGAGGATATCAGTGGCAGTGGCAGTGGCAGTGGCAATGGCAATGGCAACAAGCAGCAGGCTGCCGCTCCTTCGCCTCTTCTCACATCCCTGCTGAAATCCCCCACAGGCAATGCTCCTGTCACACCAATTAGTGGCGGCGGAGGAGCAGCTGCATCAGCAACTGGCAGCGTGGCCAGGGCCACGGCACCCACCATTACATCGTTGCTGACCAGCGGCCCCAGTTCGACCGTTTCAAATCAGCCAGTCATCACCATGAAGAGTCCCACGGACGCTGCCTTCATGTCGCGACCCATTAGTGGCCCTCCAGCCAGTGAGGCACTTGCGCCGAATACGCCCGCGCTGGAACGTCCGTCGCAGGCGGCACCTACGCTCTCCATGCTGCTGGAGAAGAACAAGGCAGCTGCCAGGGCCAACGAAGGTGGAAGCTTAATAAAAACCGAGGGTGCGGAAGGCCAGGAGCAGACAGTTGTAAATGACACCACTTCGGCGGCCACTGGAACAGCGGATTCCGATGAGGCGGATGCCAACGACGATCAGTTGCTGGAGGTATTCCCAAACATTGACGAAATAATCGATGACATCGACATAGATATGGCCAGTGTCATCGATGATGAGATCCTGAAAGATGTGGACGATGTGGTGGCCTCGCCTTCGAACGACAAAGCCGAAGTCATTGACTTCGAGGACAAGTTGGATGCACTGAAGCGGGAGCAGAGTAAGAGTTCGCCGGCCAGCGATAAACCGAAGTCTGTGGAATTGGTGATTGGTTCCAGTGACGACTCAAATGACAACATTCCGCTGGCTGCTGTGGCCTCACAGGAGAGCAAAGATCGCGGCCAATCGGGAGGTGAATCTACTCGGGGCACAGATGATGTCGAGTCGGAACCTTTGGCCAGCGAGGTGGCCGTCGAAGAGATTGGTGAGACCATAACCATCATAAGCACTTCCAGTGAAGACACTGCTGGATCGCCACCTACCAAAGTTGATGAGGAATTGGCCATAGATTCTCTTGCAAAGAAGGAGGAAGCCAAGGAGGAGCAATCCGAACAAGACATAAACGCGGAAAGCAAGGAAAAGGCTGGAGATGGAGCACTAGAACCGAAAGCTATGGACCAGCAAGCCACAGCAGAAGCACAAAGCAAAGCCAACAAGGAGAATGCTGAGAAACCTTTCACCAGCGAGGAGAAGGTTGCCACTCCCTCAACACCTGTATCCGCTCCTGTGCCCGGATCCCTACACGATACGGATGAGGAGTCTTCTTCGTTAACAGACAGCGGCAGGCAGGAGGAACAATCGAGGAGTGCAAAAGCTAAGCAGACAACAGCGAAGTCGGCTCCAGATGACTCCAAGTCGGAGCTGGAGTTGAGTGGAACACCTCAACCTCCAACAGCGCCAGCTCGCACTCCACTGCTACGCAAGCTTCCACATCGAGATCGGTCGGAAAGTCCAATGGTGGATGACGATGCCACTACGGCCAGCGATCATTCCACAGCTAGATCCACTCGTCGCCGATGCTCCTCCACGCCCGTAATCGACAGCATACCCAACTCACCCGCCTCCAGCGAACACACGGATGATCGGCGAGAAACGCGAGCCGCCTCCAAGAAGCTCTTTCTGTCCATTTATGCCATGTTGCAGGATAGCAAGCATGCAGCACCCTTTAAGCGTCCCTTTCACGACGAGCACGCCCAGCGGCACGCGGATCTTTGCCTGCGTCCCATGGATTTCCCCACCATCAAGCGAAACATCGACTCCGGATTTATTCGCAGCTTAAGCGAGCTGCACAGGGATGTCCTGCTAATGGCGCACAATGTTCTGGTGGCCTACAAACCCCACACAAATCAGCACAAGACGGCGCGTTTATTCGTGCAGGACTGTCAGGCTATCAAGGAGTTCTCACAAATCCCAGACACGCAGGTTGTAGGAATCACAGCCACGCCGACGAGCAATGCCGGAAGCTCCCGAGCGGAGAAATCAAGCGGAAGCAAGGCTAGAAGTGGTTCGCGAAAGAGCCAGAGGCATCACTAGACTTAGGTTCAAGTAACTTGATAATCTTTAAGGTTACAAGACTCCTCTAACCGCAGCACAATTTATAAGTATTTGTATATTTAATCGACTTATTCGAGGTTTTTCTACTAGCGAAAACATTTCATTTAGGTACTTTAACTAACTAACTGTAACTAACTCACAAACTATCATCAACAATAAACATCAATCGAAGAATATGAGGTTCTGTAAGCGTCGAGATCTGGACGAGTGGCAGATGGAGCGCCGCTGGGGGCAGTAAAACTTCTTCAGGCACCTGGACAGTCGCAGGTCGCATTGGCAGAGGCGGGCGGCACACGAATCGGGGCCACCGAACTCACCATGGTCCACGGCACACAGCGGCTTACCCCGGTAGCATTTCCAGATGTAAGGCACAAAGTATTCCAGATAGGAGATGCAGTTGCTCTGGCCGTAACACTTGTCGTGGACACGACAACAGCGATCGATGCCATCGGCGGGAACTCCGTGGCCACCGAATCCACAATAACAGCCGTAGCCCTTGTAGATCAACGGATCGCAGCCCGTGGAGCACTTGATCATGGAGTAAAGCCGAGTGACATCCCTCTTCCCGCGATCGCCCTCCGGCTGCAGTTCCTGCTCCCGACTGCTGTCGTTGTTGAAGCTCCACTTCATGGAATAGCCGAACGGATCGTTTACCCTTGCTATGTACACATTTTGTCCATTCATCAGGTCCTCCACTTCCGCCGGTCTACCAGTTGTGGATGTTATCACGCGAATGTCCGTCACCCGGCCATCGAAATGGTGCTTCTTAAAGTCCAAATTAATCGCATCGTGTGGATACGAGTTCTGCCAACTGATCGGCGGCGGAGTGTCCCTGCAAATTAACTTGAAGCGTAAGCACTAAGTTGTTTTCTTCATGGATGAGTTGTTAAACTTGGGTAACAAATTCGTATTAACATTAATATTCAGGTAAACAAGCGCTCTTTACAGTAAAAAAAATAATTTAAAATAAAAAACTATAATCAAAAACCTAATTTTGAAAATTTTTAAATATGTATTTTGCTAAAGTGCTGCTTTTGAATTTATAATATTTTACCTAAGACTTATTCAAAAATTGACCATAAAATATTTACAAACATGTGTTCTTATTTCTGACAGAAGCTGACATATTATTATATTATCTGCAGCTGTTTTTTTTTAATATAGCGAAGCAGTAAAAAATCTGTAGTTTGGAGTTAATGCAGATGATGCAGAAAGTCTTACGTGACTTTTTTAATGAACACAAGTAAAAATAATTGATTAAGACATGAATTAGAAGCGATATTTCCTTAATTAATTAAGTTGATATGTATATGGGTAATTGATGATTTTTATTTGCAGATTTGAAAATATATGGGTTAGATATTGACCTAATTTTGTACCAAACACCATGGATGTCTTACGCACTTGTGGCTCTGCTCCAGCCAGGGAACTGGAGGCTTCAGCTCCCCCGTCCAACCCTCCAGGCCCATCTGCTGCCAGTCGAGTTGCGGTGAGATAGCCAGACTGGTCTTCACGCTCGTTTCCGGAGGAATTGTCGTGGGTGAATCGTTGGCCGTGGCCAGCTGACTGATATTGGGAAAGATTGGTTCCACGAAATCGGATCGCTGCATTGTTAGCAGCTCGAATTTAGCAGCCCCACCGACGATCGATTGTATGGGCATTTTGAAGACAAACGAGGGATTCGCACTGCGCATGCTCGCCCCGTACATTTCCGGTATTATGTGATTCACTAGCTCCGTGTCGTTGGTGACGCCTCTGAAGGCGCTCCTAATGTCTTCAATCACCGTGACATTTGCCACAGCATTGGCCTGGGCATCGAGCCGCATGGCGGCCACCACTAGCCCCATTATCCACAACATGTTTGGGTTTGAATCCAGGAACTGATGTTGCGTTACTTGGTCACCACTCCGCTCACACCACCGATCCCAACCGCTCGCCTCGAGTGGCTATCGAAAATTGAAGCTGGCTTGGCTTGGCTTGGCTCGACTCGACTCTGCTTGGGGAAATGCGGTAGTTGGAATTGGCCTGGCCGGCCGACAGCGCCAAGTACACCGGTACAAATGGCTCAAAAGCGTGTTAATAGCAAAATAGCCGCTCAAAACGAACAGTAAGAGCAGCGAAAACAGCAACAATAACAATGACCAGGCAAGACAATTTTGGCAGATTTGGTGCAAATACACAAAGAACAATTATATTGCAAATATGTTAGCAATTATTTCAAATTCTAATTTAGTTTAGAATTCTAGCTAGCAAAATAGCTTTTAAAAAAAAAAACTTTATAGGAAATTTTGACACCCAAAAAATTGCTCTAAGGTTTATTGTTATTTTTGAAGAGATTTAATGTTAGAGTTGATTTTACAATTTTCACAATATTTGTTGAAAAATGTAGGTAGCATTTTCTTTGAGTGGCCTATTCCCAAAAATTAATCATTTAAGGTGGTACGGGGCTGGTGGGTGGTCAAACGGTGGCACAAATTCGAAGCCACTTGAAGCGTGGTCATTTACCCATTTTGTAGACCGAGAGTTAAGGCGAAGGTCGAGCTCCAGAAGCCGTCGAATCCGTTGCAGTCGTAAGCAGTTCATGGTCAACTTTTAGAGAGCTTTAATTGTAACAATTAAGACTGCGTCTGTGTGACTTGACTGCTTTCCCACCTGCAAAATTGTGTGTGCAAAACAAAACCGACAATGTAGATAAAATATATCCACTCGTGTGCATGGAGATTATATGGTCATGCGAAGTAACTAAGCCAACTAAACCACTGCCGACTAATAATTGCACATCCACATGGGTAATTTATAGTGGCCGTAACCGCCTTCTTGTTACGTTGGCCCCACTGGGTGGTGTTTGGTGGTCCAGTGGCTCAGTGGTTCAGTGGGGCTCAGTGCCCGCGAAAGGAAAAGCCAAAGCAAACAAGTCAATTGCAGTTGTAAGCACTTGGAGCACATTTAGCGTTTAATTAATGCTGCCATTGTGGGTGAATTTAGGCACTCTAATCGCAGGCCCACGCAGTTGCTCAATCATATTTATGAGTGGGCACTACTAATTATCACTTTTCTGCTCTCGGAAGAAGTGCATAATATTTAAATTATACATTTGCATATGTTCAATGTGGAGCCACGCCCTCTATGCCCTTATTTACGTTAACAGACTTTACGGTACTGTATTATTATAATTATTTAATATATGTTTTTCAGGTTTTGAACTTATATTATTATTTTGCATTCCTACAAATAGGTAAAGTAGGTCTTGTCAAGTCTCGAAATTTTTTTTATGTTTTATTTAGGAAGATATAAATAAGTAAAATATAAAAATAAGAATTATACCAAACAAGGGGATTATTTTTTAAATTTAAATTTTTGTCCCTAACAAAATTTACCAAAAAAGCTTGTAAAAATAAAATTTAAAATGCCTCTTTCTGAATTACATTTATTTTATTAAGAGTTATGCCAACAAATTCTACAAAATCCCATTTGTGTTTATATTTTTGATGCTCTGGAAACACAAATTGACACGTTTTACTAGCTAATCAAAATTAAAGCCTTTGTTTGGACTGTTATATTTGGCAAAAATGTATTTAAAAATGTACTCGATTTAATTCGTCGACCTTATTCGATTGGTGCTCGTTGGCAACTATCGATAGCGGAACCATCACTGGCACGACCGCCATCGATTATTTCTCTTGCATCCCTAGTCGTCCGCTCCAATATAATTTCACTCGACTTGTTAAATGAAAAAAACCACCTAAAATTAGGACTAATTGGACAAGGAGAAGGCACAAATTGGCCTAAAATACTGGCCAAAAGATAAAAACCGATAAATGGCTGAAAACCGGGAAGCTGTGCGTGGAAAAAAGTGAAAAGTGCTGCCAGCGAGTAGCGTTTGTGTGTGTGTGTGCGGTTGTGCGTGCGTATGCGTGTGCGTGTCTTACGTTGCAAACAAAATTTCTTTACAATTTTTTGCATTTGATCGGCGGCTCAAGCGGCGTTCTATAACTTTTCCCCCGATCCGTGGCAGCATTGTAAAGCGCAGCATTGCCTACAAATGTTGCTCCCCCGATATGTGAGTGTTTTTTTTTTTTTATCTGGGGGTCCCGACCCTAGAAATCAGCAAACTAATTAACCGACTTTAACCCACGGCCGTGCATAAATTTTCGACACATTTATAACTGTGTTTACCTAGTGCGACTTTCGGGGTCACCGATTTTTAAAATCTGTCATCCGTAATTCCCAATGACCTTCATCCGAGCAGCAACAAAATCAATAATAATATAGTTTACTTTGCATTTGGGCTACCCACCGCCCACCATCCACCATCCACCACCCCCTTTGCGTTTTTACATAATTATGACCAAGTTCACGGGTTCATGTCTATATCAATTCAATTGGTTTTTGATTGGCTGCAGCAACGAGCGTGGGATTATGACATTATAAATAGGAATTTGGTTGATTGGATGACACCGCATGTGATCGGGCGAAAGGTGCTCCCCACGTATCGAAAAAATCAGAGAAAACAGCTGACCGAGGCTGAATTGAAAAGCTTTTTGGGGGCAAGCTTTGAAAGTTATTAGCTGGAGAAGATGGCACAGATACTACTGATACTACTGATATCCCCCTTGAACTTCGGTATTTACCTGGCTATGAATCACTACTTGGGCTCCCACATGGGTAGATTAGTAATTGATTCCTATCAATTGCGGGCCCCTTATCGCCGGGAACCTGTTCTGATTGTGGCCAGTTGCCTATGACTGCTCACCTCGATTGTTTCAACACCTCCATATAGTATCTCTCTACCAACATGTCTAATGTTATTGGCATATTTTTCCTTTGTAGGATAATGAAAGATGCACGAATATGACGTAAATGAGCGCAAAGAGGAACCAGCCAGTCTTCCACCAATTCAAAACGTCACCAGCAACGGCGAGGATAACCGGCAAGATCTGCAGGATTCTTCACCCAGCAAGAACAGCCAATTCCTACAGAATCAGCCAAACCAGGAGCTGAGGCTTCCAACTCAGCAGCAGGAAAATAAAGAGCAACTAAATCGCCAGCAGGAGGTGCGGCATCAGCAGGATCCGGCTGCAACTCAGCAACAGGATCAGCCAAATCAACAGCAGGAGGATCACCTCCACCCACTGATAGTTTTCAATCAGGTGCCTACCAGCCAGCCTAATCTAATTGAGGAGACGCCAAAGAGTTCGCCAGTTAAGAAGCGACAGCGTCGCGTTTATGTCGCCGACTCCACGCGCTGCTCCAGTCTACGTTCTCGTCGAGAATCCACGACCAAGGACCCCGTCGAAGTTGTTGGCCTGAAGCAACCGGAAGTCGCTCCAGCACCTGCTCCAGCTCCAGCACCGGCGCCTTCGCCCACACCCACAGAGTCCACTGAATATATACCACTAGGTAGGAATAGATTCTAGGACCAGCTGAGAATCGCCAGTCAAGTTCCACTTTGACCATGCTAGCGATCAGCACATGTTAACTATTACAAGTACAAGTATTGTGATTAGTGAGGCAATTAAATTATATAACACCGCTGTGGTTACGTTTGCACAGATAACTCTTTTGATTATCAGAAAACTGATTAAACTAATCTGTTTTATGTACGCCACGATTTTCAATTCCAGTCTTTTTCTTGGAATTTAGTTTGATAACAATTTTTTCTTTTTTAAATAACATACAAAATGTACAACTAAAATAACTTTGTTAAATTTTGTAAAATGTGTAATTATACTTTATACACTTAACGATTCTCAGGTGCTTAAAATTAAACATATTGGTGAGCCTTGCTAACAAAAAACATTCTTTCTTGCAGACCAATTTAAGGCGGAGTTTTGGAACCGTATTGAGGAGGTACTGGAGACAAAGCCCACTGGCAGGAAGCGACGCGTCGCCGGAGGACCCAAACGGACGCGCGGCAACAAGCTCCTGAGAGAGATCGAGATCCAATCACCGGAAACGGCGGCCGCAATTGCGGCAGCGCAGGCGGAACTCAACGCCGTTGGAAAGTCGGGAGCAGCAGAATCGCGGGTCAGCCGCAAAAGAGCCAACACGATGTCGCTGTACGATCGCCGATTCCAGACGACCACCGATGAGCGTCGCGTAGCGAATGGATACGGAGGAAATGGTGGGCGATCGGGCTCCGGTTCCGCAACCAACGAGATCGAGTCCCAGGACCTGCAGAGCCACCAGTACTATGGGCCCAACGGAGGCAGCAATGCGACGGGATCGGGAGCGGGCATAAACGGCAGCGCGGCGGCCCTTAATCAGACCCCTTCGATGGGCACACTCTGCAACATTGGGAACAGCTGCTATCTGAACTCCGTGGTATACACCCTACGTTTTGCTCCGCACTTTCTGCACAGCCTGCACCATTTGATCCAAGACTTGAATGTGGTGCAGCAGACCATTGTGCGTCAGCAGACGGCTAGGTCGGCATCGTTGGGTCGAAATGTGAGCGCCGCCCAGTTGGAGCATGCGCGCAGCTGGAGCAGCAAGGATCTGGCCACGAGTGCGGATCAATACAGTGGCTTGAACGGCGGAGTCAGTAGCGGAAGTGGCAGTGGCAGCACTTCCGGCAAGACGACGCATCAGTCGGTGACGGAGAAACTCCACGAGCTGTATAACAACCTGCACGGCAACGAGATGGCCGACTCTACGGAGCCCTACCATGCGGACACGCTGCTGCACGCCATCCAGGACGTGAATGCCACCTTTGAGGGAAACCAACAGCAAGACGCACACGAGTTCCTCATGTGCGTGCTAAACTGCATCCGCGAAACGAACCAGTCGCTGATCAAGGCCATCGGCGAGTGTCCCGAAGTCATTGCAAATGGGTGAGTGTCTCAATTAGAGTTCTGTTTTGTGAAATAAATTAACCATTTTTCTCGATCTCTACAGCTACATAGCCAATCCAGACGATGTCGACACCGGAGAGGCCCAGGATCGAACCGATTCCGCTGCGTCACAAAACCTGAGCTCTGGCAATGGATCGCTGGCATCTAGTCAAATAACCACGACCAAAACGTCGTTCTTCTCTCGCAAATCAAAAAGAAAAGACGAGGTCAAGTCATCCAAGTCGACGCGCGTTCAGTCGCCCCTGAAGGACAATAGTCCCACGGCGGGCGGGATATCCGGACCGGGCACGGCCCATGCCACCGCCAACAGTCTGTTCTACCTGAACACAGTTGATCTCAGCGGCGCCAGTGGCAGTGGTAGCACCAGCGTAAGCGGAAGTGGTATTATACCCACGAGCGTTGCATTGCCAACTTTACCGGCGCCGCAGGCCACAAAGTACTCCAGCGACGACGAGATGAACTCCGCCACCATGCTGAAGGACAAGATGCGACTGGAGGAGCGGATACGTGAGCTGAACCTGAACTTCTTCAGCTCCGACTTCGAGGGCATTGTGGTGCTGACCACCAAGTGTCTTAGCTGCGAGACGATCACGCGGCAAAAGCAGGGCATGCTCGACATTTCTGTGCCGGTGCCGATCTCAGGCTACGACAATGCCGATCTGCAGGATAAACCCAGCACCTACATACAGGTGAGTTGGCTCACGAATAGAGAATGAAGCGATTTATCTAATTAATGTGGGAATTTCAGAACTCGTGCATCACCAAGGAGTATTTTCGCGGCGAGAACAAGTACAGCTGCAACCAGTGCACCGGCTACACCGAGGCCATTCGATCCATCTCGTACGAGGTGCTGCCCCGGCTGCTGGTCATCCAGCTGAATCGCTTTTCGGGCGGCATGGAGAAGGTGAGTACGTACGTGCCCACCACCTTCACCCTGCCCTGCTTCTGCGCCACCTGCTGTGAGCTGAGCGAGGGCAACAAACTGCACGTCTACAAGCTGTACAGCGTGATCACCCATGTGGGAGCCACCCTGACGGTGGGCCACTACATCGCCTACACGTGCTTCTTGGATCTGGCCAGTGACTATGTGAATTGTCCGAAGGACAGGAGAAACACGATGACCAACTCGCAAACGATGGCTTCGCAGGCGGTGGCCTCCAATGAGAATGCAGCTCCAAACAACGGAAGCAGCTCCGTGGCCAGCACTCCGGTCATTGCGGCCGCCTCGGCGTTGGCTTCGTCGGGAAACATTTTGATGAAGAAGATGAAGTTCGGACGCAGCAAGGCCTCCAGCAGCGGGGATATGAGCAAGAATGTTAAGCAGGTGAATGGGACCAGCAGCAAGAACATCACCAACGGGATCGGAAAGCTGAGCATGAACACCACCTGTCAGGGGGTGAACTGCTGTGCCATGAGGCTCTGCTGTGGCCAGCAGACGACCAGCAGCAGCAACTCGGCCAGTTGCAGTGATTTCAGCGAGGAGTCGCTGCAAAACGGCAGCAACAGCAATCTCAGCTTTGGCGGATCGGGCAGCACCTCCTATCCCACGGGTTACGGGAGCACGGGACGCGGTGGCGTCAGAGCAAACTACGCGCACGGCGGCACAGATCCCATTTGGTACATGTGCGACGACGACAAGATCAAGGCCATGACCCAGCGGGAGTTCGAGGAGCTGCTGTCCCCCACTCGGAAGATAACAATAACACCCTACTTGCTCTTCTACGCACGCTTCGATCTGCAGCCGCAGAAGGCCACGCCGCCGAAGCCGGGAACATCCTCAACCCCCCCGCCACCGTCGTCGGCACAGAGCTCCTGGTCGAATGACAACGTGGCCAGCAGTTCGCACAAGATTTGAGGTTGTACCAAGTCGCAGAGATCCAGTGGCAAACGAGGCAAGTGAAATTGGTTGACGGAGAGGTACTCTTGTCTGTCAATCGTCACTTCCCTCGCCTTTTATCGGCTGATCGGACTGATCGGATTGGAGATGTCTCTAGCCTAGAATAGTAAGCAAAATAAGAAGTCTGTTTGTTAAACAATGTAATCGTAAGTGTATTTAAGACCGAAAGTAATGCAACAATTGAATGCCAAGATCAATGCATCGATTGGGCTCACTGTTCAACAGACTGTTTTTTGATCGATGTAAATGATATTGGCATTTAATTATTGCATTCTTGTCGTTATTAAATAAGGGCCAACTCCCTTTGGCTCCTTTTTTCCCATATTCGAAGATCATATACTTTTTGTTTGTTTTAATTAGTAGCAATCAGTACAGTCTGTTTAATCGATGCATTTGATTTTGGCATTCAATAATTGTATCCTTATCGTTATCAAATAAACTTACCGGAAGCGTCACATTGAAAACACGAATTTAAAACGTTGAGATTGTTTGCTCCATTGAATGTAACTGACATCTATCCCGCATAACGTTTTTCGATATACTCGTACATAAATTTAAAAGCGAAAGCAATAAAATTAACAAATCTTTGATTCGAAATAGTCGAGTGCATGGCAGAGCAAACGAGTGTTGTAATAAAAGTTATTATTATTATCATTAGTAATGAATAATCACAAATATTCTCATAGGACATACAATCCCAGTTACATCGGCAGTAGCGGTTGAAAATCTGTAATAATTACAGCAAATTACATCCGATATACAAATAGTAACTGGAATGGTTTATTGCAAACAATGAGCTATACCCACGCAAACACACAAATATATACGAAGTGTTGAATAGTTGTTAGACTCATGACACACCTCAAAAGTGAAATGTAATTGATTGAATCGAAAGTGGCGGACAACACAGACACTTCAAGCGAACAACTGAGAATTGTTATGAAATTGATTGCATAGTTTATAAAAACGTTTTCATATGACAAGCTGCGACATAACTTCATTCACTCACAAAAACACACACGATCGTAATGTAATATTGATAAATAATATCTGTAATAAAATTAAAATATCTGTAACAATTGTAATAGCACACAACTTACGCAATATTTTTTAGTGGATTAGCCTGAGTTTCTCCATGCATTAGTGACTCTACTTAAGTTCTCTTCGATTTATTTTCCAAGAGCGCTGCTATAGTGATATTAACATTTACAGAGCAAAGATTTGTGTACATTGTAATGTGTAAAGTTTACATTTAACAATTAAAAATAACATTAACGCTGAGCAACATAAAAACATAAAAACCGCTGTGCAGCAGTTCAATGCGACACATAAATTTGATTATGAAGCGGCTCTATCGAAGCGAGAACCGTTTGATTCCAATTACATTTATGTTTATTATTGATTAGCATTATAGAACATGCTTATCTAAATATACGAAATATACAACATACACATATTCATATTGTTAACCTTAATCTAAACTGGCTGGCTCATATAGCTGGGGTATGTTCGTCTACGAAATGGTTTGAACATGGCTGTATAAGATAATGATTATTTATCAAATCTTTTCTATATACTAACTAAAATATAAGAAACACTACAGGAGTGGTTTGATGGCACCTGTGAATGTATGAAAGTTTCGCTCCTTCCACTGCACATTGGTAAGCATTATCTCCAGAGTCTGCTGGATAGCCTGATCCATTCTCTTCAGTGACTCCTGCGAACTGGCAACAAAGTCCTTGAACTCATTGTATTACCTGCGATTGGAGACCTGTTCGTAGAGCGGCGGCAAAAGTCGGGACATAGTAGCTGAAAATTAAAGTTTAACACTCATTTCTAATCTCACAACTTGTAGATAGTGTCGACGTTGTCCATGAAGTACTTCTTGGCCAGCAGGAAGCCCACCTCATTGTAGGCCACCGACTGGCCTTTAACAATTTATTTATTTTTTTAAACAATTCTTTAAGTAGAGGAAAACAATACGTCTGGACTCAACGGAGGACGAAGTCCAAATGCTGAAAGTTCGATGATCAATGCGAGATTAATATTTTCTGAGAGCGTGGCTTGAAGAGAGAAAAAAATAGATTAGCTCACAGTGAATCACAGACCGGCACAGCACAAGTTCTCTGAATTAATTATAGGGATTACTTGGCGTATGCGTAATTTTTATTCTCTGCTTAACAGTATTAACACACATACAATTTAGGAAAAAGATTTTATAAAAGTACATAAAATTACGCGAATATAATTAACCATTATTATTATATATAATCAACTAGACTCATTTTTCTAAATCGCAATGTTAATAATTTCAATTAAATACAAAGTTGGCTACATTAAAATCTTAGTTTAAAGATTAATTTTAATTCCATCTCCGATTATCTAATACATTGAGTTCAACGACCTTTTTGATAACCTAAATATTAATAGTCTTGCACATAACGCAAACAAGTTTCTGCCATTTACCCAAGTCATATTTAATAGCTACTCTAAGTATGTAATATGTATTTTATTCGACCAATTAAGTTATGGAATCTTTAAATACTAGAAGATACTTTTTTGTAAGACTCTGACCAATAGGTAGACTAGATTAGTCTACAGAACTTCTTGAAGAGCACTGGTGAACTGGTCATAGTTTCGCTCCTTCCATTGCACATTGGTCAGCATTATCTCCAAGTTCTGATGGATTGCCTGATCCATATTCTTGAACTGTTCCTGTGAATTGGCGATAAAGCTCTTAAACTCATTGTAGTCTCTCCGGGAAAAGACTTGATCGGAAAGCGGCGGCAGAAGTTCAGACATAGTCTCGGCCTGGGGATGATAGCTGGAAAAATAATATATATTTACTAAAATTAATGTAAGAACTTAATATGTTAAACTTACAATTTGGAGATGAAGTCCACGTTGTCCATAAGGTACTTCTTGGCCAAGAGAAAGCCTACCGGATTGGAGGCAATTGACTGGAAAACAGAAGCTGAATCCTGCTTTCGTATGTCTCCTTTAGAGTCGAATATCTTCTCCAGATATCGCTGCAGCACCCACACCTCCTGCGAACAGGCCAGAGCATCCATAATGATCTGCTTTTCGGCCGCCACATTCGACTTCAGGTACCGCGCCCACAGAAACTCCCAGTCCTCATCGCTGCCATGTTCAATGGAAGTGCTGTACACAATGCTACGAACGCCGAGGGGAACTGGATTATCCTCATCGGGATTAGCCACAGATCGCCAGTTGCGGAAGTATGCCAAGGCCTGGGGTACACAGTCGGAAACCTCAAACCAGCAAGCCCAGTTCGCCACCGTCGTCTTTAGGAGAATATCATCCTGCTTTTGGTTCTGGAAATCTGTATAGTTTATGCCCTTTAGTTGCTCATATACTGGGGTGATCAGCTTTGCTATCAGGGGCTGGAAATAAATGATTTCAGTTAGGTGAAAATACAATTGAACCAAATTACCTTAAAGAACTTAAAGTTCGAAGTCTGGCGATAAATGACACTTAGAATCTGTAGATGCTCTAGGGCTGACCTCCAAGGCAGAAGCTCCCGCTCTCTCTGCAAATAGTTCAACATTTGCAGTGCCACGTGGTAGTTCTGCTCTCCAGTCCAGGCGAAGTACATGACATCGTCTATAAGTTGAGCCCTATTGACCACGTGGATGGTCTGGAACTCCTCACTATTCAGAGTTTGAATGAGAAGTTTCCAGTTCTGGTCATCGTAGTTGACCTTGTAGGGCGTGGACAACTGGTTATTGAAGATTACCCACTGATCGGATCCTGGAAGGCCACGAATAGTCTTGGGCAGGCTTTCCCCATTGTCGCTGCACTCCATCCACGCCTTCGGGTTTGTGTTGTCAAAGTCCTTTTCCACCTGGTTGGTATAGCTCAGAGGAACCCACCAACATTCACCGAGGTCAGCTCTGGATATATTGGTATTCAGGAGGTAGCGCCTTTGGCTGAGTTTCGCCGTCTTTGCCTCATAGTCACGGGTCACATTGATCACAGGATAGCTGAGAGATCGACAGTTGCTTAAATCGTAAGTCTATTTCTATTGAAATTTTGACTTACCCGGTTTGCAGAGTCCACGAGTCCATTATAATCTTGATGTCGTAGTTCTTGGGCAAAGCATTATTTTTGTGGGCAGCTTGGGTAAATGACTCCCACAGATTATCCTGTTCGGCGTTCTTATAAGCATACCTTTCTAGATAGGATTTCAAACCGGAGCGGAATGAATCGTCTCCCAGGAACAAGTGCATCATGCGCAGCACTGAGGAGCCTTTCTCGTATGATATCTCATCGAAGCTTTCAGAAATCTGCGATACCATTTCAATGGGTCTTGAAATCGGATGACTGCTATTCAGGGAGTCCTTTCGAAAAATCGTCAAGAGGTTGGAATGTGAATCCTTCTCTACTGAACGCCATTCCGGATGAATGCTTTCAACGCCCAGGCTGGCCACATAAGTGGCGAATCCCTCGTTCAGCCAGAGGTCAGTCCACCACTTCATAGTCACTAAGTTGCCGAACCACTGGTGGGCCAACTCATGAGCGACCACATTGGCGATTTCCTGTTTGTCCTCCAGCGCGGAATACTTAGCGGAATACAGAAGCGCACTCTCCGTGTAGACCACCAAACCCCAGTTCTCCATGGCACCCGCAATGAAGTCTGGCACGGCGATCTGATCGACCTTTGGAAGCGGGAACCTAATGCCGAACAACTGCTCATAGTACTTGAGTACTTTGGGTCCAAACTCTGCGGCATAGTCACACTGATCGACGGCATTGGGTCGTGCCCAAGTCCGGAAAAGAGTGCCGTTTGGCAGAGTAGAAGGTTTGTGGGAGAAATCGTTAACGGAATATGCCACCAGGTAAGTGGGCATTGGCAATGACTCTTGGAACTCGGTCCATACGTAATCGGCCAGGTATTCACTACAGGAAATTACAGTAAAGTTATGATGGTATAGACTGTTATATAAGTTTTTTACTTACTGCTGCTTAGTTTCCTTAGCGGGCATATTGCTGATACCTGTGAACTTCTTGTGATAGCCCAATGTGATCACAAAAGGTGCCTTATAGCCGGGCTCATCGAAACAGGGGAAGGCCAAACGAGCCGAAGCTGGTTCAAAATGCGTAATGGAGATCCATCTGCAAAAAGAAAACACTCCAAATAAATTATTAAACATTTTTTTAGGCGCATTTAGCCTACCTTGTCTCATTTGCCAGCGGATTAACGTAGGAGCTCAAATAGTAACCTTCAAGTTGGTCTGTTAACTTGGCGGAAAAGGGCAAATTCAGCTCATAGACTTGGCCAGCTAAGAGCTCTTCACAGGTGCTGAGAATATAAAAGTCGTGGGTGGGATTCACCTCCGTGGAGTTGACACAGTTATTAGACTTGCGATCACCGCTTATTTGTCGAAGAGTGATTTGAGTCTCGTTGATCGTAAGTTTCTTCGAGTGAAGAGTTATGTTCTTCGTGTTCTGCTGAGCTTCTATTGCGATTTTCACATAACCGCTAAAGCGATGATCATCGGGATTTTCCAGATGTGTCAAGATGCGCAAGTCGTACTTCTGTGGTCGAAGAGCAGTTGGGAGTCGAAAATAGTCGTAGCTGGAATCGACCGATGCTAATCTCAGGCCAAGTGCCACCACAAATAGCAGAAGCCTTTTCATTTCCTAATCTGGTTTTAAGATAATATGTTAATAACTTATTTAAATACAAATTTGTTTTCATTAGAAGAAATGTATAATCAATCCACTTTTTGTTACCGTCAAACCTTTCTTTAGCGTAAAAAAAGTAGCCGACAATCTTGGTCAAATAGAACAGAGGTCAATAGACTTACAAAAATAGAGATTCCCTTCATCTTAGCTTATTTCTAAATCATATAATATCAAATTATTCTTATCAAAAAGTAAACTCTTAAAATTGACAATTTGAGTGGAGTCAAATTAAATATTATAATGGCCATAAAGGTCTCGAGCTGATTTAATTAGCATTTATTTTATTTCAAAGAACTATGTCAATTAGTAAAAAAATAATTTTCTATCTAAGTTACTGTAATAAATAAATTACGTGGCAACATTTTTTAATAGTTTAATAGTTAATAGTTATGGTTGATTTACTCTGCTATTCACAAGTCCACTATTTTGTTTTCCATGATGTTTTTTTTCCATATATTACAGCTCTAAAAAGTTAATTTCTCACACCTCTAAACAAAACGGAGAACGAAGACCGTATGCGGCAAAGTCGTCAATCGAACTGAATATAAAAGTGTTCTGAGCACGTCGTTTTTAGAGAGGAAAACACGAATGGAGATCAATTCAGAGTTTTGCGATTATTAAACAAAACCGAACCACTCGCCGACTGTCTGTCTACTTTGCGTATGCGCAATATTTAATCATCAATGAGGTGGGCAAAACATACTAATTATTTGGTGTTGATGTAGAAATTAATTTAGATTGAAAAACAACCCTCTATAAGTAAATTGAGCTCGTATTCTCTGAAATGGATTAAATACGTGCGTTGCTTAGAATAATCAAAGGTTAATATTCAGTTCCGTTTCAATCCCTTATAACTATATGAGTTCATAAGTTCAGGAACTTTGCTGATTGATAAGCTAAGTGTTATTTGACAAATGACATTAAAATGTTGTTAGATGTTGTTTTAAGCAATTTGTTTCCCATTGGTAAGCATTACCTCCAGAATTCGTTCTTTCCTTTAAGAATTCTAGGTATAAATATCAAAAGATATAATAATTTAGTTCAGAAACTTAAAATTTTATTGTATTCCATTATTTTAATATTTTTCCCCTTGTCCAAGTCCAACGTAGAATTACAAACGAAACACAAAAATAAAGTTTTCTGTTAAAAATGTAAATATCCTGAACTTGAACTTATTATTACAAAGTCTTAAAAGGGATTTAACTTTGTGTGTTATAGGATACGTTTAATGGCACGGGTGAACTGTTCATAGTTTCGCTCCTTCCACTGCACATTGGTCAACATAATCTCCAAGGTCTGTTGAATTGCCTCCTCCGAACCCTTAAAGGACTCTTTTGAATTCACAACAAATTCCTTGAACTCATTGTAGTCTTTACGGACAAAGACCTGCAATCGAAGTGGCTCTAGGAGAGGAGCCATGCTTTTAGTAAGCTGATGGTAGCTACATAACAACAAATACAGGAAAATAGCAATCATAAATTCAGTTAAAAAAATAAATCCTTATTCGGTACACTTACAACTTGTGTATAAAGTCCACATTGTCCATAAAGTACTTCTTGGCCAGCAGGAAGCCCACCTCGGTTTTGGCCACCGCCTGGAATGCCCACTTCGAGTCCTGCTTGCGAATATCCTCTTTGGGGTCAAAGATTAGCTCCAGGTAACGCTGCAGCAGCCACACCTCCTTGGAGCAACCCAAGGCCGTCAAAATGGTACGCTTTTCGGCCGCCACATTCGACTTCTTGTACCGCGTCCACAGGAACTCCCAATCGGCATCGGATCCATGGCTGATCGAGGTGCAATAGACCGTGTTGCGCACATTTATGGGCACTGGGTTGTTCTCGTCGGGATTTGGCTCCGATCTCCAGTTGCGGTAGTAGGCTAAGGACTGGGGTACGCAATCTGCCACCTGGTACTGGCACGCCCATAAGACCACCATCGTTTTTAATAGAACTCGATCCTGCTGTTGAATCGATTCAAATGTGTCGTTGATGCCATTCAGGTGCTCATAGATAGGTGTGATGAGTTTTTTCACGTAGTTCTGCAATTGACGAGATACTTTATGTATGCAATTCCTTCTAGAATAAATGTTAAGTCTACCTTAAAGAACTCGAAGCTGGGTGTCTGTCGCACAATGCGATTCAACAGCTTTAGATTGTCGAACGCCGATTTCCAAGGAAGAAGCTCTGTTTCTCTCTGTAGATAATTAATGACTTGAAGTGCAATCTCGTAGTTCTGTTCTCCTGTCCAGGCGAAGTACAAGACATCGTCTATAAGTTGAGCCCTATTGATCACGTGGATTGTTTGGTAGTCCTCGCTGTTCAAAGTCTCAATCAGAAGTTTCCAGTTCTGGGCATCGTAGTTGACCTTGTAGGGCGTGGACAACTGGTTGTTGAAGATTACCCACTGATCGGCACCAGGCAGATCCTGTATGGTTTTGTTAAGACTGTCGCCATTCGGGCTGCACTCCATCCACGCCTTGGGGGTCGTGTTGTTAAAGTCCCTTTCCGCTTGCGTGGTGTAGCTCAGTGGAATCCACCAACATCCACCGCTGTTCATCCGTGAAATATCAGTATTTAGGAGGTAGCGCTCCTGACTGAGTTTCGCTGTCCTGGCCGTATAATCACGGGTTACATTAAGTACGGGATAACTACAAAATTAGGAGGTTATTAACATTACAATTCTTTTTCATTCTAAAGTTTAACTTACCCAGTTTGCAAAGTCCACGAGTCCATGATTGTCTTGATATCATAGCTCTTTGGCAGAGCTCCATTTTTGTGGGCAGCTTGGGTAAGTGACTCCCAAAGATTATCCTGTTCGGCGTTCTTATAAGAATACCTTTCTAAATAGGTTTTCAAACCGGAGCGGAAAGATTCCTCGCCCAGGAACAAGTGCATCATGCGCAGCACTGAAGATCCTTTCTCGTACGAGATCTCGTCAAAGCTTTCGATAATCTGGGAAACCATTCCAATAGGCCTCGAAATGGGATGACTGCTCTCCAGGGAGTCCTTTCGAAAAATGGCTAGCAGGTTGGACAACGACTCCAGCTCCATGGAACGCCACTCCGGATGGATGTACTCCACGCCCAAGGTAGCCACATAGGTGGCAAATCCCTCCTTAAGCCAGAGATCAGTCCACCATTGCATTGTGACCAGATTGCCGAACCACTGGTGGGCCAACTCATGAGCCACGATGTTGGCGAGTTCTTGTTTGTCCTTCAGCGAGGAAAACTCAGGTGAGTATAGCAGTGCAGTTTCTCTATACGTGACAAGACCCCAGTTCTCCATGGCACCAATATTGAAGTCGGGCAATGCGATCTGATCGACCTTCGTCAGCGGCAACTTTACTCCGAATAACTGCTCATAGTATTGGATTACTTTTGGTCCAAACTCTGCGGCATAGTCACACTGATCGACGGCATTGGGCCTGGCCCAAGTCCGGAAAAGGGCTCCATTGGGCAGATTTGAAGGCTTGTGGGAGAAATCATTAACGGAATAGGCCACCAGGTAGGCGGACATTGGCAATGACTCTTGGAATTCGGTCCAAATGTAGTCGGGAAGAGTCTCACTAATGGAATGGAATGCTTTTAAAATAAATATTTTAAGTGAATTATAAATTATGATTTACTGTGACTTAGTTTCCTTCACGGGCATATTGCTGAGACCTGTGAACTTCTTGTGATAGCCCAGTGTGATCACAAAGGATGCCTTATAGCCGGGCTCATCGAAGCAGGGAAAAGCCTTTCGAGCCGAAGCTGGTTCAAAATGGGTAATAGAGATCCATCTGCAAGAATAAAGCCTTTTGCTTATAACTGCTTACCAAAAGGATTAACTACATTTGTTTACCTGGTCTCATTGGCCACATGATCCACGTATGAACTACGGTAGTACCCCTCCAGTTGGCGGTTCAACTCGGCCGAAAATGGCAAATTCAGCTCATAGACATGGCCAGCCAATAATTCTTGACAGGTGTTGAGAACATAAAAGTCGTGGGTGGGATTCACAGTCGAGGAAGTTACGCAGTTGTCCGTCTTCCCTTCACCGCTTATTTGGCGAAGAGTGATTTGAGGCTCATCTATAATAAGATCCTTCGAATGCAGCGTTATGTTCTTTGTGTTTTGCAGGGCTTCAATCACGATTTTCACATTGCCGCTAAAACGAAGATCTTCCGGGTTTTCCAGCTGCGTTAGGATCCGCAAGTGATACGTTTGGGGTCGCAGAGCCGTCGGCAGGCGATAATGGGTATAGCTGAGATCGGCCGATGCCAAACCTATTCCAACGGTCACCACAAGCAATAAAAACCACTTCATCTTCGTTGCTGTATGTATAAAATTTTTAAATAGTTAAGTTCAAATTTTAATTTAAGTTTTTAATCATAAACTCTATAGTTCAAGTGTAAACTTAAGATTGATTTAACATTAAATTTATTTATATATATATATATATATATTTTTTTTTAATATTGTATTATTTTCCAAGAATATGTGTAAGTAAATTTGTTGAGTAGGTAAAGTGATAAACAGAATAATTAATTCTCTAACCACAAAATTCAATGAAACTGTTTGATTATATATGTAGATACATATGTATGTATGTGTATATTAAAAAAGTTGTGCGTTGCTGCTCTTCACGTTTTATAATTCCTTTTTTTTTGCAATAAATAAATAGTTTTACTATATGATGAATTTTCAACGAAGTTTGTATTTGCTCTAAGATTTATTGCTTTTTTATATTATTAAAACAAAATTAAAATTCGTACTAGCCACACTTTAAGCAGTTTGTCACACCTCCAAACACAACGGAGTTCGAAGACCGAATGCGGATTATTCGACAATCGAGACGAATATATTGTCACTGTTTCTGAGCGAGTCGAATTCAAAGAGAAAAGAGAGAGATTAACATAGAGCATTTAAAATCAATTTCTCAGAGCACTAAACAAAATGACGTTCATGTTAATCTTGCGGTTAATCTTCTGTTTACCTTTTTGATAAATAATTTAAAACTAGAAAATATTTTTTTTTATGTTTTTGAAAAACGTTGTGTTTAAGCAAAACAAGTATTCGACTTGGTTAATATTGTCTAGCTTATCAAAACTTAGATATCCAAAGGTTTTTTAATTTTCCGAGAGGGATGGAAAACTATATTTATGCCTAATTACGACCAACTGCGAAAATTAATTATTTATTTGAATCTACTTATATAATACTGTGGTATTATGTAGTGTATTTATTTATTCTTTTAATTTTCTTTTTGATTTTTTTTTAGTAGACTGAACAATCTACAGACGTGGATGTGAAATGTTAGAACTACAAATGCCGCTGGATTGTGCGCGAAAACTGATGATAGTTTCGATCCATCCACTGCACGTTGGTCAGCATTATCTCCAAAGACTGTTGAACCCCCTGATGAACGCTTCTCAGGAACTGTCTTGAATTTTCAACAAAAGCCTTGAATTCATTCAAGTCGGTCGTGGTAATGACCTGCTCGGAAATAGCCGGCAATAGTCGGGACATACTCTTGGTCTGGGGATAGAAGCTGAAAAGCAGGTAGTCATTTCAATCTGATACCCTCTCGAAGAATATTTTAACTTACTACTTGTGGATAAGTTCCACATTGTCTATCAGGTACTTCTTGGCCAGCAGGAAGCCCACCTGTCCGGATGCAACAGCTTGGAAACATAGCGTGGAATCCTGCTTGCGGATGGCACCCTTGGGATCGAAGCCTTTCTCCAGATATCGTTGCAAGATCCAAACTTCTTTCGAGCAACCCATGGTACTCAGTATGGTCTGTTTCTCGGAGCCCACATTCGACTGCTTGTACCGCGACCACAGGAACTCCCAGTCCTCATCCGTGCCGTATCTTATTGCGGCGCAGTACACGGTGGTGCGGATGTTTAGTGGAACCGGATTGTTCTCGTCGGGATTGAGCTCGGATCTCCACCTGCGGAAATAGGCCTGTGCACGAGGTACACAATCCGCCACCTGGTACTGGCACGCCCAATTAGCCATCATGGTCTTCAAAAGGATCTCATCCTGATTCTGCATCGAACTGAAAGTGTCGTTCATACCGTCCAGATACTTGTAGATCGGGGTGAGTAGCTTTTGCATATAACGCTAGAAATAAAGGATTACATTAGAGATCAAGTTCAGCATAAGAAGACATAAAACCTACTTTAAAGAAACCAAAGTTCGGGGTTTGTCGAAGAATGCGGTTCAACAGCTTTAGATTGTTAAAGGCCGATTTCCAAGGAAGGAGCTCGCGCTCTCTCTGCAGATAATTGGTGACTTGTAGAGCGGTCTCGTAGTCCTGATCTCCAGTCCAGGCGAAGTAAAAGACATCGTCTATTAGCTGAGCCCTATTGATCACGTGAATTGTCTGGTAGTCATCGCTGTTCAATGTCTCAATCAGAAGTTTCCAATTCTGGGCATCGTAGTTGACCTTGTACGGCGATGCCAGCTGGATGTTGAAGATCACCCACTTATCGGAGTGAGGTAGATCCGGTATAGTCTTGGAAAGACTCTCGCCAGTACTGCTGCACTCCATCCATGCCTTGGGTGCCGTGTTCATGAACTCCATTTCCGCCTGGGTGGTGTAACTCAACGGCAGCCACCAACATCTTTCGCGAAAAACTCGGGATAGTTGGGTGTTCAAAAGGTAACGTTCCTGGCCGAGCTTTGCGGTATTTGTCGTATAGTCACGGGTCACGTTGAGCACCGGATAACTTAATGAAGAAAAGAAGTTATTAACAACGCTGCTAAAAGGACAAAGATCATAAGGATAGACATACCCGGTTTGTAAAGTCCACGAGTCCATGATAGTCTTAATGTCGTAGTCCTTTGGCAGGGCACCATTTTTGTGGGCAGCTTGGGTAAGTGACTCCCAAAGATTATCCTGTTCGGCGTTCTTATAAGCATACCTTTCTAGATACGATTTCAAACCGGAGCGAAAGGCATCTTGGCCCATGAAAAAATGCATCATGCGCAGCACTGAAGATCCCTTCTGGTAGGAGATTGCATCAAAGCTTTCCTCGATCTCCGTCACCATTTGGATGGGCCTTGAAATGGGATGACTGCTGACCAGACCATCCAGGCGGAAGGAGGTCAACAGAGAGGACAACGATCCCCTGTCCTTCGAGTTCCACTCCGGATGGATGTCATCCACACCCAAACTGGCCACATAAGTGGCGAATCCCTCGTTGAGCCAGAGGTCAGTCCACCACTTCATGGTCACCAGATTGCCGAACCATTGGTGGGCCAGCTCATGGGCTATTACTTCCGCCAGGTACTGTTTGTCGCTCAAGGAAGCGTGACTGGCCGAGTAGAGAAGTGTGGACTCTCTGTAGACCACCAGACCCCAGTTCTCCATGGCACCAGCACTGAAATCGGGCACCGCAATCTGGTCAATCTTCGGAAGCGGGAACTTAATACCGAAGAATTTCTCGTAGTACTGGAGTACTTTGGGCCCAAACTCCGCCGCATAATCACACTGATCGATGGCATTGGGCCTGGCCCAAGTACGGAAAAGGGCGCCATTCGGCAAAGTTGATGGCTTGTTGGAGAAATCGTTTACGGAATAGGCCACCAGGTAGGTGGACATGGGCACCGACTCTTGGAACTCGCACCAGACGTAGTTGGGAAGGGTCTCACTGCAAATAGTATCTTGGTATCAAATAGTGTAAATAATACAGTAACAAAAACTTACTGAGGCTTGGTTGACTTCACGGGCATATTGCTGAGAGCGTTGAAGTTTTTATGGTAACCCAGAGTAACCAGAAAGGAGGCTTTATAGCCAGGTTCATCGAAGCAGGGAAAAGCCTTCCGAGCCGAAGCTGGTTCAAATTGGGTGGTAGACAGCCATCTGAAACAAGCTCAATAGTATTACAAGGCAGTTGTTTTATATTTAAAGATCAGAACCCACCGCGTAACATTATCCACAGGATCCTTGTAGGAGCTGCGATAGTAGCCATTCAAAGGTCGACTTAATTCGGCGGCAAACGGCAGGCTAAGTTTGTAGACATTGCCGGCCACCAGTTCATTGCAGGTGTTTAGGATATAAAAGTCATGGATGGGATTCAGCGACGTCGAGGACACGCAGTTATCCTTCTTCCCCTCACCGCTAATTTGACGGAGCCTAATCTGGGACTCATCGATGGTCAGATTCTTCGAGTGCAGCGTTATGTTGTGGGTGTTCTGAAGGACTTCAATCACGATTTGCACAGTGCCGGCAAAGCGAAGATCCTCCGGATTTTCCAGCAGGGTCAGGATACGCAAGTAATACTTTTGCGGTCGCAGAGCAGTGGGCAGTCGATAGTAGTTATAGTTGGCAGTGGCTAAGCCCAGGCCAATTGCCAACACGAAGAACAGAAAAATCTTCATAACCAAATCTGATGGAAAAGGTAGTTAAAATGTACATATAGTTTTATAGTTCAAGCATAGCGAATGATGTCATTACAATTATTTACTTTAGCAAATTATTTGCAGTAAATTTTGTCTGGAGACAACTGTTAACTATTTTTATTGTTTTTATAAATATCAAATATTGAACCGAACACAAACGTATATAAGTGTTCAATGAACTCCACTAATTATCGTGTAGGTGTTAAATTTGAAATGGTCTATACATTTTATTGGCTTGTCGTTTTTTTACTACATTTTTTCATTCATGTGCCTAATCAAATGAACCCTATCACAAACTATAATCTGAACTCATAATCTTAAGCTCAAACCAGAATTGGCTTATGTTAGTCTGAACTTAATGTTATTGCTTCTTCGAAATGTAAATAAACGGGCATTTCAAAACAAAAAGTATAGAGTAAAGAGCATTTACTTTTTTCAGCCACTTAAGCTGACATTTTCTGTAGTTTGCACCAAACTGTGATATGGATTGCCATAGGTTTAGATCAAAGTTCAGAAATGGCTACAGATCACACTAAACAAGTTTCACCAAATGCACTTGATTCACTTAAAATGTTTGAGCTTACTTTTGAAACGTGTTTTTTGTGCACTGGTTAGAATCTAAGATTTCATGACTTATTTAGTTTTTTTTTAGAACACAACACCAAAAAAAGACGGCAGCAGCCAGCGTCACTACTAAACTCACCAGCGGATGGTGACCGAATGTGGCTAGTTCGACGATCGAGCCGAGATTGAAATATTATGAGAGAATTGTTTTTAGAGAGGCAGAGAAGCGAGATTAGATCGTAAAATTGAGAGATTGGCTTTGGCGGCAGCGTGAAGAATATTAGAAGGAGGGCTTACCCGGCGTATACGCAATATTTCTTCTCAATAATGTTATTAAAATCATATAACGGTATGTAAAAATTAATAGAAAAATATAAAAAGCAGATAGTATTATAGTTTTGAATATTATTAGTATATATATTTTATATAGTGAAATACTTGTAAATGCACACTGGGTTAGTCTTAACGATTAATACTTAAGTGTAACAAATTTAGTTATGGCAATCTCAATATTGGAAATTGATTTCTACGGTATATGAGCCAATGAAAGCTGATAAGAAAACCATGAATTTTTATTTATTTATATTTTAGAAGATACTAGTTATATTTCCTTAAAAGTATGACATTTTAAGTTTTACAATTTCCCTCTCCCACTCAGAAATAAAAATTCATTGATCTTGAGATACACGAATAATACTAGAGCATTAAATAGTTTATTTGGGGGACTTTAAACATTCATAATATTCCTGCTGAAATCAAGAGATTCTTTTCTTAATGGGCTGATGAGAGACTGGACTGGGTAATCTAGAGCAGCTGCTGAATGGAGCGGGACATCTGGTGATAGTTTCGCTCCTTCCACTGCA